TAAATCAGCACATGACTACTAAAAGATATAAAAAAATATGGAATTTATTATGCAGGTTTTGCAGAGGGTAGAAACCCAGGAAAAAGCCCTCATAAAATAGGAGACAAATGGTTTTCTCATGAGAGATGGATTTAAAAATTAACCTAAATGTAGTGAGTAGACAAAAATGCAAATTTATGAAAATTCCAAGATTCTAAAATGAAGATGAAATTTAAGATCATTAGTCAAAAAGACGAAATTGATCACAAGTGGTATTTAATTGCAGAACCCCAAAAAGATATCTTAAAAAAATATATTTTAATACCGAATTATTAGACCAACTAATTTTATYATCACGTGTGGTTGCCGAATCTATTGTTCACAATTTCAAAGTTTTCGCGCGCTGCTGATGGAGGCAATTTACGAACCACGATCAAACTCATTTTTGACCCTATTAAACAAACACTTTGAATCGAAAACGAAATCAAAGCAATATACGAATACTTAAGGATAAACTACAGGTTTTTGGTCAAATCTGGGAGAGATTTAGCTCTTGGGGGAGAAAAATTATGGTTAGGAAATTTCGGCGGGAATGTTAGCTTTTTGGAGAAAAATAGCCGTGTGATCTAATTATGTAAGCTGAAGGCCCAAAATGTCGAAGATCTTAGTCTTCGAGTCTGAAATAATGAAGTCTCTATAACCAGAAACCTTTTTYCCCGAAGCAAAAGAATACTATCAAATCCTTCTAAGCTAAATCTTAAAAGACGCAAAAAATATCGGAATAATGTCATACAATGCGGTCTTGAAGATTAAATGCTACCGGTAATATTAACTCATATGTCGAAATTTTTACCTCGGAAAGAAATTCTAAACTCAAATCCATAGGAGAATACTGTTTTCCAGATGTTGAGGTAAATATGGGCTCCTTAGAGTTTAGAATTTCGGAGGTTTTTAGGGTTAAACAGGCTTACCTTCGTCTCCTTCTTCATCTCCAGTAGAATCTGTCTCTTCTGCTTCGTTCCCTTCCCTGTAAAATACATCTCAATTGTCATTCAAATACTTAAAAATTATCGTCTTTTTATTTATTATTTGGTTTCACAGAYCTTAGCATTGGTATATTTAGCTTTTTTTTTTTGTTTAAGACAGTCTATTGAGATGTTAATTCGGACAAAAATCTCTTACCTGTCGCATCCATCGAGGTTCCGAAGTGATGGAATCATTTCAAAAACTTTATTCTTATAATCTTCRACACTGGTGACTTCGCAGTTAAAAAGATCTAAACTTTTAAGATTTTTTAGTTTCTCCTGAAAAAGAAGAGAAGTAGGGATTTAGTAGAGAGTATATTATTCATTTCCCGAGCTAATAACTCGTATTTTATGAAAATATCTAGACCAGGAATGAAAATATGATTAGTGATCAAAGACTACTTACCAAAGGTTCCAGCGTTTTTAGGTCTTTTATTTTGTTTCCACTAAGACTTAAATGAGTTAATTTTGGAGATCCAGTTAGATTCTGTAAGCCTGAAGAAATTCTGTTATCGCTGAGCTCAAGCTGCAACAGAAACGACAAAAAACATGAGTTGTTTTTGCATATTTTTGAAGACAACAACCATTGTAGTGTCATTTAAGCCTTACCTTTCGTAAGTTGGGAAGATTTGGAAAATTTTTCAAACTAGTAAGCCCAACGTTTATCATAGATAATATTTCAAGCTTAACGAATTCGTCTGTGAGTCCAACAATCACCGTAGAACGGCAGTTGTCCAGTATAAGCTCCTCTATCTGGTGGAAGAGGAAAGCACATGGGGTTACTTGAGGCAGAAAGAGCAAGAACCTTCAAACTTTGCAGAAAATATCCATGTAGAGGTTGAAAATTAATCGCGATTGCCATGTTTGGCGGCCTATGGTGAAGCTTGGGGACTTATCCTTACCTCTCCTGGAGATTTGTTACGGCTTTCAAGCTCGATCCTTTTTTCCATGGTAGTTTCTTGGAGTTATTGCTGTGGTTTTGCTTGCTCTCTGAGCGAAAGAGTATAATTCACGCGCCACGAGCAATTCCCCCAAGAGGGGGGTGCTGTGTATTACACATGGGGACCGGGCTAATGAAGACCGTAGTTTGTAAACAAAACCCAATGTTAGGAGAAATACATCTTTGATCGCGACCTGGAAAATCAATAAAATAATAAATTRATACGATTTCAATAATATCCAAAGACATTTTTTAGGTCTTCTAACGATAATTTTCTCAAATAATCAATATCATATGAAAATTTGCAAATAAAGCTTTTTTTATATTTTGATAAATTTCAAACAAATTATTTTTTTCGTAAAATACATTGAAAAACCAAATTAAAGCGCTTTCGACTTGCTTTAAAACTTTTTACTCCTACATTGTTATCTAATTATTTCACAAAATCTATAAATCTAGAATGATGTTTAATTTCAGAAAAAAATTCTTGTAAATATTTAGGGAAAAAATTGTCAAATGAACTTTTAGGAAAAAAATGAAATTTGGATAGTATTTAAAAAAAATTGATGTAAAATGTTTGGAAGTGCAAAAAATTGGCCTAAATTTACTATTTAAATTGAAATAAAAATCACCCAAAATCTCTCTTTAGATTCTCCTTACCATATTGTTACGTCACTCCCAAACCAGCGTCCCTTTCTCACGTGATCCCTGCCGCCATCTTGAGAAAAGAAATGAAGAAAATTACCAAAATTTCGAATAAAATTACAATAAAATCCTAACAAAAGCCTCCAAAAATCACGAAGAAATACCAAATAAACTTCGAACGAGCTACTACTAGGATTCGATAAGACGAAAACCGGATAAAATCCCTCCAAAGCTCGAGTTAAAGCGAGTGGAAATGACTTGTGGCGTATCAAGTCAACAAAATTTCTTCAAAATGCKTGAGATCGCAATCAAGTCGGTAATGATCCGAAATGCTCAATGAATTACCTTTCCAGGGTGTTTTTTAAAAGGTTTAGCCTTAGTAGGGCTCATCTTTTCGAGTTTCCAGCTTTTGATGTCGAGTTTTGTTTGAGRTACTTGTGGATTTTCATAAAGGTTTGAATCTGTTGGAGTTTTCATCGAACATTGCTCCAATACACTTAACCCCCCTCCAATCATACAGATAGCCCATAATTTTTCGATCCAAGAAACAAATTTCAGCAATCGAACATCTTTTGCRAGCAAATTTCAGCCCCAAAATGAAAACTTGAAGACAAAATTTTGGGCGTCCATGAAAGTGCAACAGCTGATGTTCGGAGATACGTATCTGGGTGAGAATTGGTCGTGTTTTTGAGGCGTGAAAACGCGATCATTTTGAAGGCTGTTATCAGGTGATGAAGARTCTCCATGGAGAGAGAATTTCGAATACACGTAGCCGAGCCCGTTCAAAACACGTTGTTTCAAAACGAGGCTAGCAAAGAAACTGTTTCTCTAACACCAAAATAATACTACGATTTCTTCATATCAAAAATCTTATTTAATAAATACATATGACTAGTGAAAATAAATACAGCATGCATCTTCTTTTTATAAATATCATTGCAAATTAATTTTTTTCTTTATATTTTTCCGTTAGTACCTCATAATCAGAAGATAAAATGTGAATTTCAAAACCAACTTGTCCTAATTATTTTTGCTTAATATATTATTAGTTTTAAGTCGGCAGGAGTTAYATTATTAAAAGTAACTAAAAATAATATCCTAATATATTCAAAAAAAAATTCAGTTAGGATGTCTACTTTTTATGTGACGTCACGCTGTAGAGAAACCAGTTGTTTGATTTTATTTCTTTATTTAAGAGTTGTAAGATTCAAAAATCCATACAATCTCTGGATGGCCAATCTTCACGAAAATTTTTTACAATTTTATTAATATTCATATGAAAATTTTGAATGTAAACTCCTTTTTTGAATAAACTGAAATTAATTTTTCAATAGCGTGACGTCATAGTGAGGGACATTCAGTCTGAAAATTATAGCCGCCTTGATGATCTCGCCATAAAAACGTCGCCAATGGCGTGCGTGGCTGAAAAACGGAGTAAAATAAGTAAATGTCAAAATATCTTGAAGAAAAAAAAAAAGAAAAAAAAAAAGAGATTATTCAGGTTATCATAATAGGCGTTGCTTTCGGTTCCAGTCTCTTCTCGTTTAAAGCCCGGAAGCGATATATACGTCTCAGAATTTATGATCTTATAGAGCGTTTTCACGTGATGTCACAGCGGCCATAATGGGGTACGAAAACAATACATTTTCTATCATCCGGGAATTGAACTCCATTTTTATGCAAATACTGTGCAGAAAGTTTCTATTGTTTATGGCTGCCTTCTCACGTGAGTGAAAACGCTTAATATGCCAGCAACAGCAAACAAACGAGTTGACGATGCAGATCTAGCTCGATTATACTTCTGTAATGTTTGCGCCGGCTGGAGATATATATATATAATATATACAAGAGGTCGTAAACAATAATAAAAAATATTAAGT